TGTAGATACAATGGTACACATGAGATAATTTCAAACGCTGTTTCTGAACTTCTCTTTAGTAAGAAATACTAGATCTTTATAGATATGCCATTGTTTTTCTGTAGCCTTCGTTTCCAAGTATTGATTATGCATCTTGGATTAAATAAAGTTAGGAGCTGCCTGTTCAGTTAAGATGTATTTGTCTTCAACATATATCCCCCAAATATGCTACTATAATTCTTAATTATGCCATTATCGCTGTGAGGTGAAGCTCATGTATTTGGAAGATGTCCAGGTTGGAAAAATTGATGTAGACTAAAATGGCTGTCTAGAGCCAATTTTACTTAATGCTGTAGCTTGCTGTCAGCATTCTAGTTTGCATTTTATTCCAGAAAGGTATAGGTATTGCATTCATGTCTATTAATCCTTGTGCTGATAAATATTCAAGAGCAAAATTGGAAATAAGTTCTTGACACTTTGCTATATTGCTGTAAAAATTGTCTTGGAATATGGGACTAACGGCAACTTATTCAGCAATCTAGTGTAGGGATATGTTGCACTGTGACTGATACACAATCTCTTGGATTATGATAATGGCAGTACGTGAGAGAACGTTTGCATTTATAAGCTTAGGGTTATTTTTCTTCAAATGCAGAGTGAAAACTATTCTGTCATAGTAACTGATGGTTTGATACTACCTATAGATAATAATTTTGTCTAAAATTATTCAAAAGATAAGCCTGGTAGACATTTTTAAACAATGGTAAGACTAAACCTGTGGCAGTTTTATTACTACTTTTAAAATATTATGTTTGGGCATTGGATGATTGAACAGTTTCCAGATCCAGGTTAGTCTTTAGTTGCTAGATGATATCTAGGTATTAACGTGAACAGAATAACTTATTACTGCCCTATCAAAAACATTTAGTGTGCAGACTTTATAGTGCATTTTAGTTATTAAAAATGTTTCTTATGGCAAGACTTGTTTTGATGAAACTGCATGTAAATAATTGCAATTTAAGCACTTGCATTGCAGGCTATTAGATTTCTATAAATGTCAGAGAATTGTAAGAGGGTTTACTGGTTTGGTTTCTGTTCTTTCATGAAGCCTTGTATCAAGATAAGAGATATTTAAATAGAATTTATTACCGCGGGAGACATAGAAACTGAAAGGTTACACCTGTGCTAGCACTGATAATTATGTAGCAGAAATGAAGGACTTGAAAGACCTGGCCACCTAGCTTCCTGGCTCTTATTTCATCTTTCATGGTTATTGAGAGAAATATTAGATTCTGAAGTGAAGAATAACATTGTCTAACCTTATACACTATGCACAAAATAAAAGGACTGCAGCCAATTAAAGATAAAGAGAGTTACCTGCTCTGGAAGATGGTAGATTCCAAGATTAAACAGAGGGGAGATTAAACTGCTATTTGGTCCAAATTCATACAGTATATAGTCTTATTTTTATAAAAGGAGGATAAATACACTTATTGGGTGTCATTGCTATTGCTGTTTTAATACTACTCTATAATTATTTGATTTCTTACCAACATTGGAAATGGAGTTGTTACAATAGTAGTGCTTTTGCTTAAGACAGGGGTCCCCAACCCCCGGTCCATGGACCAGCACCGGTCCACGGCATGCCAGCAACCGGGCCACACAAACAAGCAAAGCCCAATCCGTGAGATGCAGGCAGCACACAAAACCACACACCCTCCGGTCTGTGGAAAAACCTCTCTACTGAACCAGTCCCTGGTGCTCAAAAGGTTGGGGTCCTCTAGCTTAAGAGTATGCTATGTTTCATTTTAATTATTTTTATTACACATTTTATTATTTTTACAAATAAGGTGCCAAATATATCTAATACTACTTCTTTATCCTATTTTCCCCAAATCAACAACCATGTGAGTTGGGCTGAGAGTGACTGGCCCAAGGTCACCAGCTAGCTTTTATGGCAAAGGCGGGATTAGAACTCATGGTCTCCTGCTTTCTAGCACGATGACTTAATCCCTACCAAACTGGTGTTCATTTCTTTGCAAGTACTGGCTCAAGATTATGGAGGAGCAAAAAATAATATAATGTATCTATGAAGCAAAACACAGCTTTTGCATCTGTGCTATACTGTAGTAATTTAGTATACTGCTTCAATGCTTAGCTAATTGGTGGGAGCCCAACCCAGCCAGCAGCAGGTTATACGGACTGATAGTTTCGCACTATACATGTTTCTCATCATTATAGTGATAGCATCTTGTTCCTTTTCAGTGTTTTAATGAAACATCTCTGCATTAATGGCCTTAAAGCACTCCCTTGGGAAGCGCTGAATATTGGTACAAAAAGGGCCCTTTTCTGAGTTTGAATAGCTATTTCATAACATGGCTGTTTCAAGGTCAGCACACTTTTGGAATGGTTAGAACATACCATTTAAAAGTAGAAACATTTTGTCCCCCCAAAATGTTTGTGGCAGTAAACCTCGAGTAGGCATGAATCATGGTTTCCAATGGCAAGGGACACATGGTGTAGACCTATTCCAGGGGTAGGCAACCTCGGCTCTTTTATGACTCATGGACTTCAACTCCCAGAATTCCTGAGTCAGCTATGCTGACTCAGGAATTCTGGGAGTTGAAGTCCTTGAGTCATAAAAGAGCCGAGGTTGCCTACCCGATTCATACTGCGAGGCTGTCACAAAACAGGGTCATCGTAATTCTTCTCACTTGCCCACTATTTTCTGATCACAGGTTCAAACTGTATGTGCTAACAACTAGTTTTTCCAGAGCAACAAAGTGAATTGTCAGTGGTTTTGGTCCACTAGTGGGTATTAGCCTTTGGGAGGTCATGAGTTCAGTTTGGAGCAGCCATGTGAGAGTCAAATATTTTATTCTTCTGGAACTTTATTCATCAACTTTAACATACAAAGAACGGACATTTGTCAAGATTTTCCATGCTTGTCTGCCAACACTACTTTTACACTGCACATCTAGAATATGAAATTATTCTGTAATAGTACTGCTTATGTGTTTTCTGGTGAAATATTGGGCTTGTTCCCACTCTTATTCTGTATCTTGTATTTTAAACTTACTGAAATTTCAATGTTCCGCAGTTTGATAGCATTTACTTTAAAAAAAAACACTATCTGGTGGAAGTTTTGAAAACATGTTATATTTCTTTCCACATGAGCTCAGCATGTTTCCTTTTAACTTTATCAAATTTTCATAGTGACAGAGTGGTCCTCCAATTGGCTGCTTCATTTTTGAATAATCATGAATTATCAAAACAGAAAAGTAGGGGAACTTACCTGGTTGCAGCATTTTTTCATTTACTGCTTGTGACAAGTGTTAGTCCTTTCATTCATGGATATTTTCACTCCATCTGGCATCATATCCCTGAACCAGGTACACAATATCCTTGTTCAATTCACACTGCAGACCTTGGTCAGGAATACTAGCACCTTTCTAATTACTGGTGCTGCCTTTGGTTCTATCTTATTGGTTGCATTCACCTCCAGTTATATATTTTGCTAGTAATTCACATAGAGGAATCCAGAGGCCACACTGAAAAATCATCTATAATGGTTTTTGGAGTGGTCATCAGTAAAATCACATGACCCACTTTTCTTCCTTACATTTAGTGTACTAATTTAGGAGAGATTGAATAGTTTCTGATTTATGTGCCGACATTACTACTTTACCATATACCATATCATTAGGTGCAATGAACGGTTGCTTCTGTGTAAAAGGATATATGGTCAGATCTGAAAATGAAATGCTTCAACTTGAACTTATACCAGGGGTAGGCAACTTTGGCTCTTTTATGACTCGTGGACTTCAACTCCCAGAATTCCTGAACCAGCATGGCTCAGCTTGGAAACCTCTCCCTTTCCCCTCAGCATGGCTGGCTCAGGAATTCTGGGAGTTGAAGTCCATGAGTCATAAAAGAGCCGAGGTTGCCTACCCCTGACTTATACCAAATATGATGGATGTATTCCCCTTGAAGTAAAATTTAAAAAGCCTTAAATGGGTATATTGTTACCCTTAGTGAGTGTAAATTCCTAAAAGCTAGAATTCTGATTAAGTTGTTCACAATCGTGTTGATTTGGTAATGAAAAAGGACAAATGAAAAAATACACACCTTCCTAATCAATTTAGTCCCACTTTCCCTTTGTTGAATTACTATTTTCACACTTATCAGTGATTCCAAGAAATACATGTAGGTAATGAAACATCTGCAAGCAAATTACCAAGCTCAGAGAGCGCCAATAACTCCACTTTTCAATGAGGTATGCAGCCTAGAATTAATGGGAGCCGAAATCCAAAATGTTTGAAGAACACAACTTTGTTTCCCACAATTTAAGACTAGAAATACTTGGCTGATAATATGATGGAGGTACAAATAGAAAGGTGATTCCTCAAACTGGATTCTATAAAGCTTTCACATGCTCCTGTGATAAAGCTGTCCCTATCATAAATCATCTTACTGGCTTACATAGATGATATATATAACTAAGCCCCATTTCATTTTTATATCAACATTTTGTGCATCATTGTTAAGCAAACTTCAGAATAAGGGTTCAGAATAAGGGTCAGAATAGTTCTTGGAAGAAGTCATATTCTCTGTTAAAAAGGAAAATATGGAACTCAAGGCCCTTTTCGCTGTTGCCTTCTGACAAAAAAAAAACCTGCCAATAAAAGACTTGTCCAGCAAATTCATAGTATATAGTTGTGGCAGGGACTGTGGGACTTGGCTATCAATACTTCCTTTTTCTGCCATCTTACATTGTAAAAAAAAGAAAACCATCTTGTCACAGTTTCTCGAATGCATTTAGAATCTGAAGATGGCTTTGTAATTAAGATATGAACGACATGCTTTAAAATGGCATTTTAATCTAAAACTTAATTTAAATGCTTAATTACAAGTTAACATATAAGTGCTTTGGTGATCAAACATTTCACATCTTATATAAAAGGATATTCATGAAAAACTTTATGAAACAGTTGCCTCTGCAACTGAGCAATCTGTACATATTGCTGTTTCTCTTTAATATGTATATAGCATTTCAAAGAACAAAGTTGCTTTTACTATGCTCTAGTCAGCCAGTGGATTTCTTCTTGCTGTGTTGAACAGAATCCAGATCATTAGCATCAATGCATATTTTGGTCCTTATTGCACTTCTAAGTACTGTTATTTAAAAAATATGCCTGTGGTACAGAGATTAACAGCAGGAAGCACGGTATATTTTGTTTTTCCCACTTATTTCTCTACATATAGTCTTTGTTAATCTTCAAAAGAATTTAGCCAGAAAACCATGGAACAGTTTTGATACCTGGCTGTAAAATCTTTCTTATCCTAGGAGAGAGGGGAAATACAGAGGTGAATTATATAGGTTGGTTTTCTGAACTATTCTGACTGAAAATAATGGCTGGAAGATCTTCCTGTGTATCCAATCCCTCCCATTTATTCCCTCTGTCTAATCTCTCAATTAAGAGGATAGTGTTAGACTTGCTTACAGTTTATATAATATACATACTATCTTTTCTTGATAAAATTAGCTGCCACTTAAGGCTTTATATTAGATTGTGCTTTAAGATACTAGTATATTATTTATACAGAAAATCCAGCATAAGTAAATACACTTGAAGACAAACTGGGACACACAAGGAAGGCACCGTAGTTTTCTAGAAAAAAGTGCAGCAGCAACCTAATGGATCTTACTGATAATACTCTCCATTATGTGTTACCGCTTTCAATTAAATCACATACACTGTCCTTGATCAAGACAAGGAAAGTAGTCTTCAGTCTTGAAGAGATCAAGAGGCTCATACAGGGCTTGATTCTGCCTTGATGATGATTTCTGTAATGAAAATCTACATATCAGAATACTTGTATACCTGATTTTTTTAGAACTCATAAATTTAATAGTTTTGAACAAAATGTCCCTCTTAGGTTTGTGTGTCTTCCATGAAATATACCAAGCAGATTTTGAAAAGATTAGAACTACTACATTTAAATTTCGGTGCGCATAAGGGATTTCTGGAACAAATGATAGGATCTAAAACGGAAGTCAGAAATTCATCCACTATTTTTCATGAAAAGTCTGCTAGGATTGTGGAGTTTTACAATATACAGAGCATAAATGAAAAACCTCTCTGAATCATTAAATGAGCTATGCCATTTGGAAGGCTTGCGTTGATGCCTCAGACATATTTTACAGCTTTTTTTAATGCACTGATATGCTAGCTGACTTCACTTTGAAAAAGAGTCCAGCCATTTCTTTCATATTACCCCATTCCCTCGTCCCAAACAGAGACCCAGGCGATGCATGACAAATGGGGACAAAATGGGTGCAAAAGCCAAGTCTGTCTTCTGAGGTTCATGTTGGCTGCTGCCTTCATAGTAAATGATAGCAGTAATTGCTTTGAAACCATAGGGCATGGATGTCAAACTCGCCGCGTCACGTGATGTGTCGCGACTTTTTTTGCATTGCCGGAGCTGGGGTTGCCTCCACATGATGCAACTGGCCCGTGGGCCAGCAGTTTGACACTCCTGCCATAGGGGAATGTTACACTCCCCCCTCCCAGTTCATTATTGGTTATAAGTCTCATTATTCCTGATTTAATTGGAGCTACCCTAATCTTTTGATAGATTATCAGGTCAGTCTGCCATGCAAACATGCTCAATATATACAGATGATTTCAATGCTGCAGTTGTCCAATAAAAATATTTTAAGTTAAGGTCAAAGGAAAACATACTGAACAAACAGGCATAGGTAAGCCACTATCTGCAAGAGGTTCTAATACTTCAAGATGGGGAACCTTTCTATATTTATTCCCTTTATTTGGTTAACTCCCAAATCAGTGAATGGATTTTTGTCCTTCAAAGTATTTATTTCAGACAAGTATCTTTAGGCAGCTTTTCTAAACACATGTAAGCCACAGAAAGGAAACAGAGAAGCTGAGCAAGATGGCTCATTCCACTGCATCCTCTTCCACATGATGAGGTTATTGACTAAGCCAAAGATCTCTATAGAGGACCTGAGATGTATAATTTTTGATGTTTGAGGTCTAACTTATAGAAAGTTAGAAAGATCATGTAGACAAAGGAAGTCTGTCAAGGACTATCTGTTATAATTGTAGCTGTTTCCAAATGGCACTTACTTTCAGGGCAGTACCACACAGCTTTATATAACTGTAGGAAGGCCATGCGGTAGACTGGCCACTTCTCCTTCACAAAGGTAATCATCGGAAAAAGTGAAGTGAGATGTGATGGGGGCAGGAGGATCAAAGATGTGGGACCCGTGGGGCAGGAAGCAGGCCCAAGCCCTGTGGTAACTCAGCCAGGAAATAGGCCCAAGGGACCCAGTAGGGTGAGATGGGAAGGAAGAAAAGCAGGTGGGGGCTGCAGCATCCTTGCAGTCAATCATAAGGGTGGGCGACTTGCCAAATGCCCAAATTTTGTTCATGTGGCCATAGGGGCATTGCAGCGGCTGTAACTTTGGGTACAGGTTGTTATTCCCTTTGTTCAGTGCCATAGTAATTTAGAACAATCTCTCAAGGAACATTCTAAGTTGAGGACTACCTAAATTACCTTATATACTCAGAGAATAAGGAGCATGATGGATGAAATGGGCATGCTCATCCAAGCCCCTCCTCTGGAGGACAACAGAAGCAGATAATCTGTTGTCCTCCAAATTCCTTTGTATTTATCAAAGGAAGACCTTGAAAGAATATCCTTTAAATAAATATTACAATAATTATTTGTCCCCCATTCTCACATTCTTTGAAAATCTAAAATTATCTCACTGAAAGTTATTTTGGAAATTATTTGGGGTAAATGTATCATAAACTTATGAATTCCTAATAACTGATCATCCACTTTGAGCTTATGGGAGTTACACATCTAGATTTGCATCAATTTGTTCCCACTATAGAGATTCAAGAAGTCTAAATTTAAGGTTTCTATAATCTACTACATAAACTAATTTCAATTTGTATCTCACATCTTTTCAGCCTTAATAAAGAAAACTTACATTTAAAAAAGATGGCACGTTGATGGTGTACAATAATTTTTTTAATGCATTCGGAAAATTTCCAAGGTCAGATTCTGCCTTTATGATCTGTTCCTCCATTCCAGCCACATTACTACCAATCATTTTTACAAAAGCCTGGTTTAAAAGAAAAGGAGAAAAAAAATAGCAACAATCATTCTAACAGAATGTTAACAAAGAGTGGTTCAATTTCCTAGTTTTGAATTAGAATACTGAATAAATCTGGAAAGAATCAAACTTTCTTACTCAGCAAAAACAAATATCAATTGAGTAGGTCAACTTTACTCATCCTAATCTACTTTACAGAACTGTAAGAATAAAAAAGGAAAAGAAAAACAGATAATCTTGAGTAATAAATTTCAAGACCTACAATTTACTTTGCAAAATTAAATGGGTTGTTAAGTAACTGGATGAGACAGCAGCAAACATGGTTTAGTCAAGAACTGGATCTTTGGAAGTTCAATTTAGTTTAGAAATATGAAAGCATAATACAACATAAAACAAAAGGGAACCTGAGAACCACAAGATTCATTGTATTTTGAACTAATCTAAAATCAGAAGATTCAGTAAAGAGTGAAGACATGTGCATACATGACAAGAACTTCAGAATCAAGTACAGGTAGTTCTCGACATACGACACTTCATTTAGTGACTGTTCAAAGTTACCATGGCATTAAAAAAGGGACATATGGTTTTTCACACTTACGACTGTTACAGCATCTCCATGGTCATATGATCAAAATTCAGATGACTCCTATTTATGACGGTTGCAGTGTCCTGGGGTCATGTGAGCCCTTTTTGTGACCTTTTCACAAGCAAAGTCAATGGGGAAGCCAGATTTACTTAACAACCGTATTAAATTAACTGCAGTGATTTGCTTAACAACTCTGGCATAAAATGGGACAAAATGGGTCATAAAATGGGACAAAATTCACTTAGCAAACTGTGGTTGTAAATCAAGGACTACATGTAGAGATTAACTAGATTTGAAATACAAAAATGCATTTCTATGACAGGAACTTACTGGGCAATTGTAATATGATTAGACTTGTATGTGAAGGGTCCTTGGTGCTCTCTGAGCTTGCTTGTTTTCTTACAGATGTCTCATTAGCCTAACTAGGTAACATCATCAGTGCTAGGGACTAGTACTGATGATGTTACCCAGTTAGGGTAATGAAACATCTGCAAGAAAACAAGCAAGCTCAGAGAGCACCAAGGATCCCTCATTTCAATCCTGAGCTACAAATATTCTCCTTCATTGAGACTTGTATGTGACCTGACTCTCACTAAGTGAAATGGCATCTCGCTTATCTTTAACAATTATCAAAGATACATGTGTTTATTAAAACATATTGGGAAAGCAGTGTGAATAGAAACATACTTGTCCTTCACAATTTCTTGCTGGAAAGATTTTTTTTTAATATAGATTATGATTAAGGATCTGCAAAGAATCAATACACTGAATTATCTCTTGCTATGCTGACAATATTATAAGACCTAACCCCCCAAATAAAAGTAAAATTGAAAATAATTTCTATTAGTCTTGTAAAGAGAAATAAAATATTGACATTTGAAACACAATACCTCTAGTTTGTCAATCTTTCTATAGAGCTTCTTCATTTCCATTGCCTTTGTATGAATATGTGGCACACTTTCATTAATTACTTGAGAAGAATCATTTCTAATCTAGGAAAAAAACATATATTTTACTGTAACCAACCTGGGAGATTAAGCTTTGATAAAATCTAACCAATGCATTTAAAATGGTACATAAACGGAGTTATCTTCCAAATGAATGTATATAACCCATACAAGTTGATTTAACAGTTGTTGGTGCTCCATCACTGGAGGTTTGTAAGAAGAGATTGGACAGAATGGCATAGGGCAGGGGTAGGCAACCTTGGCTCTTTTATGATTCGTGGACTTCAACTCCCAGAATTCCTGAGCCAGCTTAGCTGGCTCAGGAATTCTGGGAGTTGAAGTCCACGAGTCATAAAAGAGCCAAGGTTGCCTACCCCTGGCATAGGGTCTTCTGCTTTAGCAGGAAGTTGGACTAGAAGACCTCCAAGGTCCTTTCCAACTCTTGTTATTAATGCCAGGCTTCATTCAGAAAAGATCTGTAAATGCTTCTAGATTTGCTAAATGTAGATTTCAACAGTTTATTATACGCCGCAGATACGGAAAACGGGTTACAAGACTGCATACAAATCAGAACTGAACCCCAGTATCTTTTATTGTTATAACGACACTAAAAAGATAGTGCCAAACAATGTTTAAAATTTCAAAATTATCTGCATGACTTCATCCGTATATAATTTCTGCAGTCCTTTAATTTCAATCACAGGTGGCTTTCAACACCAACAGCATGTGACAGCCTACATACCCTAACACAGCGGTTCTCAACCTATGGGTCGCGACCCCATTTGGGGTCGATCGACCATTTCAACGGGGTCGCCAAGCAAGGCTGTCCGCTATTTTTTTTCCCCTTTTCCGGCGGGTGCCTTACCTCCCTTGAGCTGGGCCAGCTGGTGGTCGGCCTGCTCCGTCTCTGCCGCTTGCCAGCTACGCCTCGGCTGTCGCAGGGGGGCAGAACCACGCATGTGTGGCGCTCCCGGGCAGGGAAAGTCCTCGACTTACGACCGGTTTAGTCCTCGACTTACGACCGGTTTAGTCCTCGACTTATGACCGGTTTAGTCCTCGACTTACGACCGGTTGGGGGTCGCGGCATGAAAAAGGTTGAGAACCACTGCCCTAACAGAGCCTTTCAACACAACTCAACGCGTTTTTAAGGAGCATTACCTACCATGTCCAGCATTCCCACAAACTCATCTACCCTGATCAATAAATCTTCCAGACTCTTGTCCAAAGTTCCGATCTGCAAAAAAAAAAAAAAAAAAAAAAAGACAAAATAAAGCATTTAAAGACGAAGCAAAACGGCAAGCGCAGGCGCGGGGGAAAGAGTCCAGACCTCCGGATAAACTCAGTGCAATCAACCGGGGGGGGGGAGGGAAAACAGGCAGTAGGAAGCCGCGGAAGGCCACCGGTTGCGTAAAGCTCCGCCGTCGGCCGCCACTTCCCGCTGGCCTTCCCTTGGCTCGCTTGGGATTTAAAAGCCAATTTGCTACGAAGTCGCACCACCGCCGGTGAAACTGTTACGGCCACTACAGACCGCGGCGTTAGAACGCCTCACAGAATGACCCGGGGAGTTCACGCACGACTGTCGTCTGAAGGGCGAGGCTATTGCGGGGAGGGGGACGAAGAGGGCGGCGGGACGACGCGCGAGAGGCTTCAAAGCGGGCCCGCCTAGCAAAGAAGACGCCTCCCGACCCTTCACTCGCCTGCCCGGCGGAGGCGACGGTCTCAAGCGGCGAAGGGAGCAGGTAGGAGGCGTAGTCAGCCGCCGCCGCCGCCGCCGCCGCGGCCAGTAGAAACTCCCCGCCCAAGGCATCGCTTTGCGCCGGGTGCTCGTCGCCGAGGCCGGAGGCGCTGCTGTGACTCTGCGAGACGTGGCCGCTATCACCGCTCGAGGACGAGGAAGACGAAGAGGAGGAATGAGGCAGCAGCGGCGGTGGCTCCTCCGGGACGCCGGCAGAAGGGGCTCCGGCCGCTCGCGCCATCTCCCGCCCGTCTTCCGGACCGCGCCCAGCCCGGAATCGCCCGTCTGTCACCTGACTCGGAGCGTTTTAAATTGGAGGCCCTCGAAATGACAGCTTAATTGTTCCCCCCCTCCCCTCCCCTCCCCTACGGAAGCTCAGCAAGGACAATGCGAGCCACTGGGGGTTACAAACTCGCTCGCGCGCTGCATTCACGTTCTACTTTAGAGGGTGGAGCGAAAAGCGAGTGTTTTGAGGTGAAGCACGTGCTTAGGCCACGTGGGAGAGATTCCGCCTCGCGGCGCTCCTGGGAGTGGGATTTTTTTTGGGGGGGGGGAATATCCCGGCCTGCTCTACTCCAAACGTGGAATTCCCCATTCGGTTTATACTACAGGGCCATGTTCTACAACAGTGGACTTCTACATGTTCTACAATGCATGTGGACTTCAACTCCCAGAATTCCACAGCCAGCAATGCTGGCTGTGGAATTCTGGGAGTTGAAGTCCACATGCCTTAAAATTGTCAAGGTTGAGAAACACTGTTCTGCAATCTCAGCGACTTGAAGATGGGTGTTCAACTCCCAGAATTCTCTGCTGGCTGTAAGGGTAATGGTTGCTATTTGAGTAAACACGGTTGTAGAGAAAAATAGAGGATGTTTTTCATCTTTTTTTCCCCGTCTTGACTTCCCAGCGTTGTACGTGTATGAATCTGTTGAGAGATGACCACAGTTATTTAAGCTTGCTCCATCCCAGTATTTTATAACCAGTTGTTTGTTTCTGCAGGAGGCAGCAGGACTAGGCTGATGTAGAGATGGCTTGCTCAGAATTTGGACCCCCCCAAACTATAGGCTACATGGGGAATTTTTATTTTTTTTTTATTTTTAAAAAATTTAAATGTTATTGAAAAACAAAAATTAAAAACATTGAACATGATAACACAGATTTGACATACATCTCAATTCACTATTACCATAAATTGCTAATAAGAAAAACCTATACAATAACATCACTCCAATCACCATCTTAAATTATCTCAGTACAATAACTTCCCTGCTTTTCCCCCCACCATCTATAAAATTTGTTCCAAATTTGGTAAAAAACCGTTTCATCCTGATTTTTAAGTCTTCTAGTTAACCTATCTAATTCTGCGCAATACATAATTTTATGAATTACGCTTTCCTTACTAGGTATCACCATAGATTTCCAATTTTGAGCGAAAATAATTCTTGCCGCTGTAACCACATGAGTAAATAAATACATATCTTCTTTACTAACATTGTTTTCAAGAATTCCTAACAACAATGTCTCAGGTTTATACTGAATATTTTGCATACCCATTTCTGTTACCCACGCCCAAACCATACACCATGGGGAAATTTTTAAAAGTCTCAGGAGAAGTCAGTAGATTGCAGTTACCGGTTTTTAAAATCTCTCGTTTTTCATTAATTACTTGGGAAGATAGAATGCTTATTAGGTACAAAACTAGGTTGGATAGTTAACACTTTCAACGAAATCAAAACTATCAGAAATGATCCAAAATAGCTTGACAGCATAATAAAATCAATCAAAACTTATGGAAACGTGATGAATTTAAGGCACTAAAAATGAATTGTTCAAATATAGTATGGGAAGTCAGTCCCCCCAGAGAAAGAAATATTTTGGGGAATATTAAAAAGGCAGAATATTTTATTTCCCCAAAGGAATAATGGAAAATGTTAGGCAGCCCCACCCCAAGTCTCTCTGCCCCAAGCAGAAACCATGTCTGTAGAAATGCAGATGTGATAATCCTGTCAGAAAGATTGGAGCCAGGAAGCTTGAAGTTGATGGGATTAGAAAGACAAAGATTCCCTAGAATCAACAACCTCTCACACCAAAAAATCCAACACAGGACATAGTCATCAGCCCCAGCCCCAGGGAAGCAGAATATGACCTTTGGGACATAATAGGATTAACCCACCACCATTAGAATGCCAGAAAGGCACACTGAACCTCAGGTCAAAGTTCATGCCATAGGAACAACTCCAAACACAAAAACTCAAGAAGGTATAAAAACCCACCACTCCCAGCAACATGTGGTCAGCTTTCCCAAAGCCTCATTTCTGTCTGGCTCTGCTCTTCAATAAACTACAAACTTCTTTCTAAAAGCAGTCTCCATTTTGTTTATTCCCGGCTTGGACTGGACCCTGATGAAGATTTTTCTTTCAACAATAGTATACCAAAATACGGTGTCAAAGAGATGCCATATCCAAAATACTTTAGAAGATACTCCCTACTTACCAAAATCTCTAGTATTAAAATATGGAGTTAGATCAACACTCTGGTCATTACAAAGTCAGAAGGCTAAAGAACTGATGGAAGACCCAATGAAATATGACAAAAGAACAGAGTAAGAATCAGTAAAAGTTCTACCGTCAATAAGATATGCCAGCATAGTAGCCAACTGATTGGAAGAAGTCAATTTATATTTCAATACCCAAAAACCAATTCTAGAAAGATATTGATTTCATGAGAAACACAAAGACATTCTCTTTGTGAAAGCACACACACATACACACAAAGGCTCTAATGCTGGGAAAGATTGAAGGAAAAGAATGACCAACAGAAGAGATGGATTCAGGTACAGTGGCAATGAATGTACCAATGGAAGGCCTGAAAGCCTAGGTAGGGAACAGATTGTCATGAAGAAAATCTATATGATTACTAAGAGTTGACACAAACTTGATGGCACATAAATAAGTAGAATAAACAAATGATCTATTATAAAAAAGTTCTGTGTTAACTGACTTTTTAAATGTGACTTAAACTTCATTGTCTAATGAATTTATTCATTGCTTTGAATTCTCTGAACTATATTTTGAAGACACGTAACTGAAAAAAATGCTTTCAAAGTAATGTTTGTGCATATATAAATGGCTCATAGGACTGCAAATCCTTTGAAAGTGATGTTTTGACATGCGCAAGAATGCTATGAAGCATCTGTTTTCAATCATTTAAGCAGTTATTTTTCCCAGGCATGCACAACTGCTTTACTTTACTAGTGAAATGACTGTGTATGCACTGATGGATGTGAAAACAATTGGCAGCAAATTCCAAAACAGCTATGTGAGCTTGGAGGAAGTGCAGCTTCTTTAATCCCTCTGGGTGAAAATGTAGTAAAGTAGATATCTGTGATTTTTTATAGCTCATTGCTAAACTGTAGCTGTGAAAATATATTTGGATCCTCTGTTACAGCTCATGCTGGTTACAATTTAATTAGAATAAAAACCAATGTGGATAGAGACTTTGCAATACTTTCATTTGAATCAGAAACTTCAAGTACCCGAGTTTTTGAATGGATAGGAAGCATATAAAACTTGCATCTGAGGTCAAATGACTGCTTATACATCAGACAAAAATAAGGGAAAATGAAAGATGAAATATCTATGGGCACAGATGGTTAGATGCCCATTTACTACTTTGTACAGAGAAATACAGAAGAAATAGGAACTAAAGTCTACAATATCAGAGAAGAGTCATGGTAACATGATTATGACAGAAATATTGGGGAAATGGTGAAAGGCTTAAGATTTTGGTTAATCTTTTAAAGTGAAAGAAAGATAGGGCAATTATTCCAATTATTAGAGATAAAAGATGAAATATATACAACTTCAAAGGATATACAGTCAATTTTTAAAATTCTACTCAGGATGTACAGTATAGCAAACCAGATAAAATATATTGGTTGAGGATATAGAGGCTTTTCTAAATAATATAAACCTACCATATTTAGATGATACACGAAAACAATTTTGCCCCACTATCTGAGATTAAACAAAGAATTTTAAAAATGGCAGGTGGTAAAACACCAGGAGTAATTGGGCTCTATTGAGTGGCATAAAACATGTATAGATCTTTTGATGTCAAAACGTTTGTCAATTGTATGATGAGATACCTGGTAAGGGAACGTATTGGAGGCATTAGGTTTATATGCAATTACACCAAAATCACTATGGCGCACTTATCTCGTAACTTCGAACGAGTGTTAAGTGAACGCTCGTAACTCGGGGATTACCTGTACCTATTTATAGCATGTTTGGTTAGATGAGGACCATTAGGCTCTAAATAGAACTTTTAAATAGAACAATTATATTCTCTGTGTAAAGGGGGCATAGTATCCTCCTCTCAATGTGAATGGCAGGGTCCCATGTCGAACTGTAGATCACTTCATGACCAGCTGTAAGCCGAGGGCACATATCAGTCCAGTATCTGATTTTTTTTAATATAAACGATGCTGCACTTCAGTGGTTAGATGGCCTAGATATTGTTATTTGAACATAGATCTTTTTAACATTTATATTTTATTGGGTTCTACTAATCAAGTTGAAACGTTAATTTATATTGCTAGTCCATATGCCATATGCTAAATAAATAAATCTGTTAGAAAGCTACAGAATGGAATATCTAATAAAAAATGCAATCCCTTTTCCCATGACTTTATGGAGAAACCCCAAAATTAAACATTGGGAAAAAGATGGTAATTTGGAAAAATGGGATGAAAGCAGGGATATTGACTTTGGACCAATTGATAGACGATGAGAATGAACTTCTAATATACGGTATGATAAGAGACACAACAGTGCAATTTTTTCAGCTACAACATCTGTTAACAACATTGTTTGGACCAGCAGCATTTTCAGCTTCAGAGACATGAGAATTACAACTAGTTACTGTTGTAATGACATTATATTCTATATTTTAATTTTTTTAGTTGTATTTTTTTTCACTTATTTTTAAGCACTTGTTATGTATTTTTTGATAATGTATGAATGTTTGCATTTTGTTCCGTTTTTTTCTTCTTTGTGATTATTTTAAAAGCAACAAAAATAAATTAGAATAAAAACAAGGCAAATGCCGGCCCATAGTATTGCTGAAAATTGGACACAATTGGAGAGCATCATGAGGTTTAAACCATCTTACTGATTGGCTTTGCAATATCTGACAATTCTATTCCTCTCTTACAGACCAGCCCGTCTGGTTCAAATTAAC